GTGTGTGCGCGCGTGTGTGTGTGTGCGCGCGCGCTGACTGGGGAGGCCCTGCTTGTCGGTTGTCCTTATGGCCGTGTGTCCCCCGCAGGGCCCGCACAGGCCGCCGCCTCCGCTGAGCCGTTCGACAACTCCACTTACAAGAACCTCCAGCATCATGACTACAGCACGTACACCTTCCTAGACCTCAACCTGGACCTCTTGAAATTCAGGATGCCTCAGCCCTCTTCAGGACGGGAGTCGCCGCGCCACTGAGAGCTCCGTTTAAAGATAAACCTTCTGTTGTCCCGCATTCTTGCGTGCAGAAATAAAATCTGCTCGGCAGTCCTGAGGCCTGGCGTGCGTGACTGGTTTCCCTTCCGCACCTTTCGTAGGGAGAGGTGAGTCAGCCTCACTCCCGCTGCTGGTTTGCTCACTGCGTGTTTAGAAACATCTGTGTGCAGGGAATTTTTCTCTCACTACATAGTAGGTCTCACTGAGCAAATCCACAAAACTAGAGAACTAGGTGCTTCCGTCAGTGTGATGCCGCTGTGTTGAGCCCCTGGTCGGTTTTGCATTGATCTCGTTTACCAGCAAGATGTTAAATGCAGTGGTGACTTCTAATTTGGTAGGTGTAGTTCTTGATAAATTGGAAATGGGATTTTTATCCACTTCAACTACTACTTTGCAAAGATACTATGGTGTTAAAGTACAGCATTTTGTTACCAGAACGTTGTTCCCTCGAATCAGGCACGCGCCATGAGCTCAGGCAGCGCTGAGAGGCGGGGTGAGGGGTGGGGGTCGTGTGGGGCCCAGCAGCAGCACCTGCCCCATGGCCCCACGGGCTGCGTTCATTCGGCCACAGAGGGTCTCTGGGATGGCCGAGGGACTTCCAGCACTCGTGGAAGCAGGACTCACCTGGAGGCGACCATGGTGTGAGCAGGCCCCAGTGTGTCACTTGCTATCTGCACCACACACCTCGTGGGGACAAAATAAACAGCTCTGGGGAAGTCACACATCCAGATGAGACCACTCACCAGGTGAGGGACGGCGTCCATCTGGCGGGACGCAGGTGCCCCTAAAGGAGACTGTCTGCGCCCCGGGGGGCGTGTCACCGTTTGCCTGTTTTCACACCTCCCTGCTTGGCTCTGTGCCCAAACTCATGGGCTTTATTTCATTTCGGTTCTGGTTCTTGGCCTCTAGTCAGTTTACAGCAGACAGAACGGTGTGTGGTAACTTACGACTCACATTTCTATAATCCTGCAGTTCTTAAAATGAGTCCAAGCCAAGAGTAAAACAGAGTGTTGAAAACCAGTATAGTGATCTGCCTCAGATTTTGTCACCACCCAAGAGGCTTAGCAACTCAGCAAGGTTCTTCCAATCACACTTTTTATTGTAATAGTACTAAAGCCACATTACCAAAAGGAAGAAAATGGAAAATAGTAAGATTGCCTAAAATCCACAGCGTTAACCCAAGCATTACTAACACTTGGCATGTCTGCCCGGTGGGTTTGGTCAGATATGACCCTGTAACGTACATACAGTTTCGCATCCTGCTGGGGTTTTTTCTTACTTCGTTTAATTGCCTGCTTCTCATACCGTGCCCACGGAACCCCTGTGATGTGTGGGGGGCGTGGGGGGCGTGGACTGTACAGCCACAGAGTGCGTTTCCCTGTTAACACCACGGAGGGAAGTTCTTTCTACATGAAGATGAGTCTGAATGTACTTTCCTTTGTGTGAAGTTTTCCCTTGGAACAGTCTGGTTGGGCTAATCTTTCGGTCTCCTGGGGGGTTCGATTCCCCCGCCTCCTGAAAAGGCTGGAGAGGCCTGGATACACAGCACCGGGCACCTGGTGGCATCACGGCCGTGCCCCGCCGAGTGCAGCGTTTTGCATTTCGTGTTGTCTCCTCAAGATGAATTTCCAGACACTGCGCTGATGAATGACAAGTGATTTGGGGACATTCGTATTGCTTTCGCTTCTGTGAGGTTTTTTAACTTGCTCAGTACATTTGAGTTAAATGAAGTAATTATTTCCCCTCCATCTTAATTTTTCCTGTCACATCACCTGAACTCTGGCGTCTCCCTGGACGTTTGTTCTCCTACACCTGCTCCAGCAGATACCCGGCACCGCGGGAGGCTGTGCAGAGACCCAGGTCCAGGCCTTGCTTACTGTGGATCTTCGCCCTCATGTTTACTGGCAGCTGGTTAATAACTGAAACCCAGCAGGTTATCGTGCAGCTTTTGTGTTTTGACGGTTTATATTCTGCCCATCTCCCCACCTGGCGTTCAAAACCCAGAGACATGCTCAGTGACTCACCCTCGCTACCCGGCGCCATCTGACAGTGGCCTGCTGCCTTGCATGCAGGAAACAGTCAAAGGTGTGCAGAATGAAATCACTGCACCACATACTACACCGTGCAGGGTGCTGCTGCATGAGCAGAATTACGCAAAACTGACGCGTTGTCCTGATAAAGCAGGCAGGGCATGCTTTTCTGCGAATGGGCTGGAGAGTAAATACTTTCTGCTTGGCTTTGCCATAGTCCATGTGGCTCAGTCTTTCCTTTTTCCCACCCTTTAGAAACGTTAAGAACCGTTCTTAGCTGTGAGCCTCATGAAGGAAGCGGAGAGTGGGGTTTGTCCAAGAATCGCACTGTGTGGACCCCAGTGTTCAGGGGCTGCCGCAGATCGTTTAACTCGGTGGAAGGCTGTCCGGAGAGAAGCCTGGCTAAGTGGTGGGGCTTCAGGTGCTCAGCACCCTGGTTCTGCCTTCACCCCCGCCCTCCTTCCCTGTGCCCTCCTCTAGCCCTTATTCTAAAGGGGATCTGACACAAAGACTAAGATACAAAAGGTAACAGCTGAAGTGATGCCCTCTTTGGAGAAGCTGTCCCTCTTACAGGCCTGTAGTCAGCACCAGTCTAAACACTGATGCTCCACAGCCTGGGAAAGGAGGCACGTGAGAAGCCAGTGCAGGCCACGTGCCAAGTCTCAACGACAGGAGCAGACTCTGGGGACAAGATGGGGATGGGGGTTCATCAGAGAAGGCTTTGTGGGGCATGGTGCCTAACCCAAATGTTGGGAGGTGGCCAGGGATTCACCAGGTGCAGGGGGAACTGGTGGAGCCCTGCAGGGTGGCCTCCAAGGCATCGGGGTGGGGATATGCCAAGACCTGGACGCTGAAAGCATCAGGTTTTCAGGAAGCTGTAAGCATTGCTAGACTAGCCTTAAGTACTGGGGGCTGAACTGTGGAGCTCAGCCCACCAGGATAAAATACAGCAGGCCTTTTGTCTCACGGTTCTGGAGGTTGGAAGTCCAAGAGTAAGGTGCTGGCTGATCCCACGCCTGGTGAGAGCCCTCCTGGCCTGCAGACAGCCGCCTGCCCCCTGGGCCCTGGCGTGGCAGGGAGTCAGAGGGCGAGCTTTCTGGTGTCTCTCTGCAGGAGGACACTAATCCCATCTCGGGGGCCCCACCCTCATGACCCCTCTAGCCCCAATTTCCTCCCCCAGGGCTCCACCTCCAAATACCATCACACTGGGGGTTAGGGCTTCAACGTGCACATTTCAGGAAGAGGCAAACATTCAACCCATAACAGGCTCTGTCCTGTAGGAGAGGAATTTAACTGTCTGTTTGGTTTTTTTTTTAATACTGGTAATTTGTTTGAAATATTCTGACCAAAAAATGGGGGAAGGGGTGAGCTGCAGAGACGGTGAAAGAACTCTTAAGTGCTGATGTCTGCTGCAGCTGGGTGACAGGCACACGGAGGTGCACAGTTCTGCTCCTTCCAACTTTCACAATAGAACGAGCTTTAAAAATCCTCCTAGTTACATGGAGAATAAAACTGAGAGGAAGACGCGAGGCAGGAAGAGGAAACAGGCCACTTTCTAATTTCTCCAGGCAGAGTGAGGGTGTCCTGCCTGCCAGCCCGGCGCCCCTCGGTGGCGGGGTGGCCAGGGGGCTCGTGGGGGTCTGGGCAGCCCAGCCAGCGGCTGCCCTGGAGGGCAGCTGCAGCAGTGTGTGGACGCCCCACAGCAGGCAGGCGTCTGCGGTCTGTGATGCCCGCTCATCTGACAAGTGGCTTGTACGTTTCCTTCAGGCTCAGAGGCACGGAGTGAGCTGCTTTGACGGTGACCACGCGTCTGTTTCTTCTCTCTGCTCTCACCTGTATTTGACACAATTCTTCAGTTCGGGGAAATTTTCCTGGAGTGTATCTCTGAGTATGTTTTCCTTTCTGTTTCTTTTCCACGCGTTTGGACATAACCAGTGTTAGCACTTTTGTCTGTCCTCCGCGTGTTCCATCTTCTAACAGCCTTTCTTCAGAGACTCTATCTCCACACGCCCTTGGCAGGAGTGAAACCCAGCCACTTGGAGATGAACCGACTTGCTGATGACCCGGGGATTGGAGAGCTGGCGCGGGGGCTGGGTGGCAGGACGACAGACCCACAGAACTGTCAGAAACCCTGACTAAGGAGTCACGCAAACCCAAGAATCCAGAGGAGGGAGAAGGGAGTCAGGAGGCGGCCCGAGAGGGCCACTCAGCTCGGCTTTTGGAGCGAGTTAACCGGGGCCTAAGATAGAAACTGAGAACAGCAGCTAGGCTCTGCGTGGCCCTGGCGGGCCGCTGCTTGATTTACTGGGACTTTCAGCATCTCTTGAAGAAAATGTTTTTCTGAGGTTTAGCAATTCCTCCTTTTTTACTTCAATTTCTTTTTCTCTTAACATTTAATAATTTAACGCTTTTTATTTTTAAAAATGTCAGAGTTCTTTTATGCCTGATAGATTTTTGGACAGACTTTTTTAAATTAATTATTAAAGTTTTTAAAATGTATTTTAAAAGGTAAACTTCTAATTTTTGAAAAAAATCAAAGCTTCTAAAAATATTCTATCAATCTTAAAAACATTTTTCTTAAAGCATTTATTATAAACTTTACTAAACTACTTATAAATAGTCTAACTTTCAAATACTTTTAAACTTATAAAGTAAATTTTTATTGGATATGTATTTTTCTTAGTGAGATACACTGAAACTATTTTTTTTTTCAATTAGTTCCTACATCCATGAATGACTATTGCTAAAGGCTAAAAGAGGTTCAATAAAAATTAACAGAAATAAAAGAGAGTGAGAGAAGGTATAGACGATTATCAAGGATGAATTCCGGTTTTGTGGAGCCTGAAGCTTGTAGAACTTGGAGAGCTCTTTTAAACAAAGATAATGCAGAATTGTGAGTTCAAAATTTAGGTATGAAAGTGAGTATTATTTAGAATAAGAAAAAAATAGCTTATAAATTTTAAAAGTTGGCAGATACCATAAACATCACAAAATCCAGGAAAAGGACACGATGCTTTATTAATTGCGTGCCACACTGCCTGTGCCAGGCAGCTAATGAGACGTCGTTTGGGGGTGCGTGCCTTTTCATTCCTTCTCCACGTGGCGATCTCATAGTACTGTGCTGCCAGAATATAGAGATAATTCAGCCTTTCCTCCTGCGGGGTTGGGCAGCTTGGTTTTGGATAGTTGGATGCACAGAAATTGACCGCACACAGATGCGCTTGCTGTTTGTCTTCAGATGCAGGAATCCCAGTTCGCCTGACGAGAGAAAGGCAGGCCTGTGTTCACCTGCACACGCGCCTCCCGGCGTGTGCCTCACGGGAGAGAAGCTGTTTGTCTAGGCACAGTGAGAACCAGATCCTGACACAGTTCTTCATGACTGAAAGAATTTTCCACCGACTAGCTTCTGGCTCCATGCGTTTCAGAACTTGCTTCTTATCTGCCCCCGCCTCCGTCTCCTGCCCAGCCTCTCAGGACGTGGTCATTGCTCACGTTCATGGTCACTGCGTGTTTGTGGCCACGCGATGCATTCTATCTCCAGTTCACGTCACAGGTTGGTAGTCATGCTACGTGTTCGTAGTCACATCACACGGTCCTGGTCATGTCACATGGCCGTAGCTCATGTCTGTGATCCTGTCACGGGTCACGTTCATACCGCAACACCCCCTCCGGTCACCACCATGACATCAGCGCGCCTGGCACATCAGCTCATGGGAAGGAGGAGGGTGAAAACGTGAAGACGGAAATGGATGTCCCAGAAAGTGGGCTGTTCAGAGTCCGGTTAAGAAGCAACACTTCTTATGAAATGAGGTTGAAGATGTCTCTTTATTGACCCTGTCGGCTGACTCCCCCGCTGAGCTGGGTTGTGGCTGTTGGGACAAATCAGGGCACAGAATGTGGCCGGGGCAGCTGTGCCAGCCTAATATCTAAAGCAGGCAACCGGAGGCCTGCAAACGTGGGAAGACCAGAAGGAAACGTCTTTGTGCTTTCCTTGGTGGCCGAGGCCTGGCTGACCACCTGGCTCCCCTCGGCAAGCGGCCCCCAGGCTCCGAGGGCCACTCTTCCTGGGCCAGCCACGCTCTGTCCTCGGGCGCCAGCGGGACCCGCCCTCAAGGCATGCAGTCCGCCCTGTCTCCTTGGCCCCCTAGTATTTTTTTTCCTTTTTCTTTTAAGCACTGGCTTTGAAATCTTACGAAATCCAAACTAATCAGAGCCTGGGTTACAAGTTTATCCCGATGCTTTTAGTTCATCAGAAGCCTTGCCAAGGGTTTTCAAGTGTGGGGCTTAAAATACATCACCCTCCACTCCGAGCCAGCTGGGGGAAACCAAAGGAAAACACCGTCTCCTTCAGAACATATGGCAAGTCGCTGCTGCAGGAATAAGGGAGGAATCAGAAAAGAAACGATGTTCCAGTACAAAATTAAAATGTAGGCTTATGGCATGGAAACAGACAATCATCACACCACCGGAAGCTGTTTTCAGAGAGCATTGTTAAACTATAGAGTTGATTGGGGGAAAAAAGAGGGAAAGGCAGTGGTGAAAACTGACACTGGGCACCTGACCATCCCCTCTGAGATGCTGACGGGAAAGGAGGGAGACATGTTTAGGACAGAGTTAAGAAGTCCGCTCTGTGCAGCGAGGTTCGTGGGCGGGACAAGCCCTGGCCTGGGCCTCGCGGTCCTACAAGCTGACACTTTTCTTGCTTGCGGCTTTCAGGT